CACCATTATAACGGCCAAAGTTACACAGCAAACTTTTCATTTGACTAATGGGCAGTAATGCCCTAAGGTTTTCGTTGGTACACATAGATACACAAGTACTTCTGGATGTGTAGCAGAATTTTAAAGTATAGAACCAACTTTTGCTATCTCGTATGATTCCTTGCTTACTATAATATACTCCGAAGTAGGATTATCCAGCTGCTTTGTATTCTGCAAGGGAAATCTCCAAATATACTCATAAAACTGTGAAGAAAGCTATCAAGCAAAGAAGCAAGTATTTAGGAAAACTCCTTCTAACAGCACTAGAAGAATTTTATATCAACGTCCAGTTCACAACTTTCGGAAGAATGAATACCAAAAAAAAAAATGAGCGTTTAGAGTGCTCAAAGATTATGAGAAAATGAGAGCAGGTGTGGGACGATATTCAAATGTTGGGGCGAGAGTAAAGTTCTACCAGAAGTATAACCTCGTGATATTAGTCTCAACCTCTAGCATGGAACTTGGCGTAAAAAAATGAATTATGACCAGGAACCAGTAGGTGAAAATGAAACAAACAAAAACAAACTATCAGAATCATGGTACACTATATCTACAATAGAACACGCATTATTTCATAATGATGTACTTTACAAAAAGATCACATCGCAACGTTCAAATCCCTGTAAATAGATCGCATGTATGAGATTTATTATAAGTAAGAATATTATGTTACAGTTGTATCACAGAACGCTTGAGTAAAGGTTGAATCATGTTCAATACTATTTGTTACATACGCTCCCGCAAACACTATTCACAATAAACCAGTCACACACAAAAAACCACACACACACCCCTCCCACAACGAATCATTTTCCTACATTATAATATTGTTTTTTGGCACAGCTTGTTCTCAAGGTGAAAAAAATATTCGCAATCGCTTTGAAAATATACAGACAAGGCAGCTCACACAATTAATTCATGACAATGTACTTTATAGGTTGCTTAGATTATCGTTGAATATCATTAACGCAATCAACGATATCTTCAATAATCCGTGTATCTAGTATGTACATATATGTCTGCTGCTTCATCATTTGTATAATGAATCAGTACAAAACAAATAAAGGTACAATCATGTTAATGACAACGAGTTTATACAATGAATTAGTAACATCTCCTTATCTATTTCCGAACTCACAAGATTATTCCTACTCGTACTTCTGGGGCCTTCAAGGAGAGTTCATATAATAATATGATAATAGTGGATGAAACTTCTTTTAAAGGGGGACAACGTTTTTTCCATACAATTGGTAATTGGAATTGTTTTTGTATTATCTGGTATCGGATTAACGCAAGCACTTTGAATACAATTGATGAAATAATGGTTGGAATTGGAATTCTATGTTATAGTTATACGATACGAGTATTTATTTATTTATTTATTTATTGGGGGGGGGTATTCTATCAACTTCTATCCAAGCGGCGAAGGTGTTCTATCGACTTGAGTCAGCGTTGGTTGAGCTAGGAAAATACTTTAGATAACCTTGCTTTGTCATGTAACTTTAAACATCTCGTCAGAAGGCTGTCGAGCCTTTTCTCTTGAAATGAATACGTACGCAGTACTTGCCTTGCTTGCGCTCAGCGCCGTATACTTGAGAGTGCTCAGAACACATGCTTGGTTCAGTTTACTTGGTCTTGATGCTGCGATTCTTAATAATAATACCGAGACACAGTTTTGTCTTAGCTTGCTTTTGCTCGTGAAAGCATTGGCAATTCTGAAGTTTTGATGAGGTCTTGACCTTGTGTTTGCTCTCAGTTGACAGCGAGGCCGAAGGGGGTGAAGTAAATAAATTATGATGTCTTATCTTTCAGACAGATGTGTATGTTGAAGATTTGTGCATCTTTTCACGAGGTCAATAGTTCTTTCTCAAAGTTTGCAATGAAAAATACGATGCTACATCCAAACTAGGCAGAGCAAGGAGCGGTGAGTGAGCTCATTTTTTATGCTCCTTTTCAAAGCTGAGATACAGAGGAATGTGAGCGATGTATTCGATTTTCGTGACTTGGGTTGATTCCTGAGGAAAAAATAGAACGAACAGGAAACGCATTATTTCAACTTCCAAATAAAAAATAGTAAAATAAACATTAAACAGTTTTGGGTGTTCTTTCGTCTTCACAATTGTCTTAAAACGTTTTTAAAAATTAGTGCTGCTCCCCCCTTTCCTCCCCCCC